ATTTTTTTGTGAAGTTGTCAAGAAGCTTTTCCAACATATGGCACTGGAGATGGTGCTGGTATTTGTGTGATCCTGTCTGTCAACAAAACCTTCCTGACAGAGGTAGAATACAACCACTACGGTAACTTAAAATAGGTTTTTAATGGCTTTTGTGATGAGCCACACAAAGAGGACCCCAAAGTGCTTTTCACTAGTGAGATAGATGTACCAATCTACCACTGACTTCAATGGAGCGTCAGGCATGATGGAACCTGTAGAGCAGCATTTGTCAAACTTTTTTTTTAAGTCACTGCACCCTTTAAAAAAGTGTGCAAAATCTCGAGGCACCCCAGTCTAAACTGCCATAGCTTTTAAAGGGGGACCCCACACAAAAAAGTGGGTTTCCCCCTTCACAATGCAGTGCCCCCTTCAAATCAAGATTTCCCCCTTTCATATCAGTCACCCTTTGCATTAGGAGCCCCCCTTCTACATCAGGAGCCGCTCTTGCATATCAGAGCCCCCTATTACATCAGAAGCCCCCTTTACCTCAGTCTTCATTCCCCCTTCACATCACGGTCCCACTACCACAAATTTTAAGGCACCCCTGAGGAGGCCAGGAGGTACACCCCCCTGGTTGAGAAAGTCCGCTGTAGAGCACCGAATTAATAGAATGGAGATACAGCGGTAAATGGGGTTTTTCTCGGAGGATGTCAAAAAAGAAACGCATCCAAAAGGTGACAACCTTTGACCTCCGTGTTAACATTCTAGTTGCCTGGCCATCTCTGGCTTCCAAACCCGAGTCACTGATGTAGAACAAGTGAGCAGCAATTGAAATCCTAATGTGCAGAACAGTAATGTGTGTCTCAAAGTTTTGGAATCAGAGAATCAGCATGTCCACCAGACAACCAACATCTACAGAAAGTGATCAGCAATGGCAAGCCAAGAAGTCTTCTCCTGACAGATTTCCTTTAAAGAAGACTTCTAGAGGATCCATCTGATTTTTAGGTGGAGGGTGATAAAGAGACAATAATAAAACAATATTGGTAGATCACTCTTTTAACAACACTTAGAGAAGCTTTGTTTGTGAAGGTTTGCATTCATCCAGGTCATGGTATAGCTAGTGGTTGGAACTCATTCTACTGGACTAACCCGGTAATGTCACAGACATTTCACCACTCCAAGTGGCTTCCTCAGTTTAAAACCATGAAAGATACTTGGATGAGTGGCAAGACCTCTTTAACATTACAGCTAGGGATGCACCGAAACTCGTACTCGCCCAAATGCCTAGTCCGATACTTGAGCTTCCGGTATCAGGAAGCCAGGCAGCGAGTCATTACACATTGCCCGGCTTCCTAATTGGCCCGGGAAGCCGGCTCCATGCCCCCTCGTCACTTGTGACGAGGGAGCATGGAGCCGGCTTCCCGGCCAATCAGGAAGCCAGGCAGCGTGTAATGACCTGCCGCCTAGCTTCCTGATTGGTCGGGAAGCTGGCCAATTAGGAAGCCGAACGGCAAATAATTACCCGCCCCCCGGCTTTCTGATTGACCAGAAAGCCGGCTTCATGCTTCCTCATCATCTGGTGACGAGGGGGCATGGAGACGGCTTTCCTGCTAACCAGGAAGCCGGGTGGCGAGTCATTACACACCGCCTGCCTTCCTTAATGGGACTTCCGGTATCGGTGAGTAATGAAAAAAAATATCGGTACTCGATACCGAAAAAACGGTATCGGTGCATCCCCAATTACAACATAAAATTAAATAATAAATAAATCCAGATGAATGTTGTGCTACTTTTTTACAATCTGAGCCTCTCTCGCTGAAAAACATGTCTTATGTCTGAACAAACTGGCAGTGGAGGAAACGTACACTGGATGGGGAGTACTATGGAAAGCTCTGTTACCAAAGGACCACACAACAGGGACGGTGGAGGCAAATGTCAGCTTGTCTTATAACACTCAGAGTTTTTGTCTTCATTAGAAGTAGGCAACCTCTACATTCGAGCTGTGGTGAAACTACAAATCCCTTCATGCCTTTGCCTCTAGGAGTCATGCCTGTGGCTGTCAGTTTTGCAGTTCCTCATGGGACTTGTAGTTTCACCACAGCTGGGGTGCCAAGGCTGCCTATCCCAGATAGAAATCCTTCAAACAGACCTGCCGGCATTCTTTAAAGTGCAAGAGTACATAAATCTGATGGACCCTGACAGGTTTAAACATTTGCTGGTCATATAAACTGTTTGGGGACCCTTCCAATACCCCCCCCAAACCCTCCAGTCAGCTTCGTAAAAGGTCAACCCAGCCTGTGAAGGAGCCACAATATGGGCAATGGAAGGCCAAGCAAGGCGAAGGAAACCAGAACCCAGTTTGGGTTCGGCAAGTTTCTGATTTGGGTGCCCATTCTGCCAGGTACATGACTTTCAGCCTCCAACAAAACTCAGAAATTTAGCAAATGTAAACTTTATGCTCTTCTACACAACATCAAATTAAAATGGGGGTTTTATTTTTGTGAGAGTAAGGCTCTGCAAGTGCTCAGCAATTCACAACCACTTCTATATATAGCAGCATATCAATTCATATAAAAATATACAGAACACCAATGAACTGCATGATTAATACTCAATATCCATGAAATACTTGAATCCGCCACAGATAAAAAACACAGAGACGCACATTCATACATTGAGGATGCGTGATCAGTGGTAGATACATCCAAATGCTTCATTCTCACCTCCATGCCGATGGAGAGATTACCTCTAGTCTGTGTGGAAAGTCTTTCAGCTTCAAGATGCAAAGGAGACAGTTTTTCATGGTACCGTTATGCTGCAATGCTTGAAAATGTACCGGGATGGGGGAAATGGCGGACCTTTTGGGCAGTACGTAGCCATGCAGTGAGACCGCCAATGAAATGTTTACATTTGAGGTCAACCCAATGCAATATGCAAACAAGGAGAAAAGGAAAAACGGACAAAGATTTCCTCATTTCATAATATCCAACTACATACTTCTGTTACTTTCTAAATGATTCATTTTTATATGGACCTGTTGCTCGCTAGTTTATATGGACCTGTTGCTCGCTAGTTTATATGGACCTGTTGCTTGCTAGTTTATATGGACTCTGTTATTCCCGGCCCCTATGCATTGATGTTAGCTGGGCCAGTTCTATACTGTTCTATGCAGTGGAAAGATATCATCCTACATTTATTCTTAGATAGTCCCTACCTCATTTTCTTCAAGAAAAACAAAACAAAAGCTCAACAAATGGGAACACTGGTGCAGACCCACTTAGAGGGCTAATGTTACCATATTTCTAAAAGGAAGCCTTTAGTGGGATCATCTCATTCCTCCTTACATTTGTTTTTACCTCAGGCACTGCTGATGCATGACTATAAAACACCTGTCCCCTGGAGAAGCTAAATTTGCGAAACGCGTTGGGTCTATCGGGACAATCATATTAGTTATGTATTTGGACTATGTATTTTTGAATATTATGTGTGACGCAGTATTTATTGTAATAACGAGATCCAATTTTATCTTATTTACCCATTTTTTGTATGTTTAATAAATCTTGATATAACTTTTACATATGCATTGGTTGTACATATCTCTCTACAAACCCTTTTTCTTCTTATTCAATGTACTTTAGGGGGGAAGAGGTAGCACAGGGTGCCAATGTTGAGGCAATCCGCGAGTTTTATTTTAGCCTTTAGTGAGAGAAATACAGGGGAGGGGGGATGGTGGTTCATTGTTGGATACCTCCTGTCTGTCTCTGCATTCAATACTGACCCAGACAAAATACATAGAAGAATAATAACCACATGTACAGTAACTTTGCCATTATTCAATTACATAATTTTGGAGGATTTTCCTAACATTCAGCCTGCTTGGCTTTTCTGCAGGCCCACTAGGTGAGGCAGTGTGAGAGGGGACCAAAAAAGAAAGAAACGGCGAAAGAGGAAAGCCGAGGAAAAGGAAAAGCTGAGGAAAGGGGAAAGAGGTCAGCCGGGGAAAGCAAAGGATAGGGGCAAGGGGAACGTAGAGGAAAGCAGAGGATAGGGGCAAGGGGAACGCAAAAGAAAGGGGAACATAGAGGAAAGGGGAACGCAGAAGAAAGGGGAACGCAGAAGAAAGGGGAACGCAGAGGAAAGGGGAACGCAGAAGAAAGGGGAACGCAGAAGAAAGGGGAACGCAGAAGAAAGGGGAACGCAGAGGAAAGGGGAACGCAGAGGAAAGGGGAACGCAGAGGAAAGGGGAACGCAGAGGAAAGGGGAACGCAGAGGAAAGGGGAACGCAGAGGAAAGAAGAACCCACCTTTATTGACTACTTTGTGGATGTAAGAACTAGCAAAGAGAAAATATCTATAACAAAAATGATTAACAGGTACATATAAAAATGAATATTACATAATTACAGAATATCAAGTTGTCCTTTGCACCCACCGTTCCTAATCTAGACACGGCAAGAGAACTTCCCTCTCCGCCAAGTGGCTAACCCAGTTTTGTCACCCTTCGTGTCTAGACTTTGTGTGTAGGATAAGCTTTGTGAATGCAAAGAAATCTTAACATGGCACAGACCTCGTATCTGGCAAGAGTGAAGCCATACATGCAATAATTCATCAAAATCATACCATTCAGACCATGGGGCTCATAGGACTGTGCTCGGTGCTCAGAACTGTCAATTCTTTAAGAGGTAAGTCAAATCATCCATCGTCTCCCTTTATTTCTGAAAGACTCTGGATGAGGAGCTAGATGCCAAATTGTGCTAGTTGATTATTTTTAGGTATTTATTTTACATGTGTTGGATGCACAAGGAGCCGTACAACTCTCTCACTTAGCTTTGCAATGGCCATGGAGTAGGGGGTAGAAGAATTTAGAAGCCGTGGAATGGACAAGATGAGAGCACGAGAGTCCCCATAAGGTAATATATAAGAAGGCAGTAGGTGTTTCAACCCATCAAAATTCACCCGTTTTGGCTGGGCTGACATGATAAAACAAATAATTCTCTCATTTACTCAGTTACTCCACCAGCCCTCATCTATGCTTTCACTTCTACTTCATTCTCTATAATAGACTCTGGCTGCTCGGGGTCCACTATAACAGTTATCACACCAGCCACCTGTTCCCCTCTCCTATGGATTCTTTGATGTTTAATAAGAGTTGAACAGTCAGTGAAGCTCCTCCCACACTCATTACATGTATACGGTTTTTCCCCAGTATGGATTCTTTGGTGTTTCACAAGGGTGGAGCTGTCAGTGAAGCACTTCCCACACACTTTGCAGGAGTACGGCCTCTCACCGGTGTGAATTCTTTGGTGTTTGATCAAGGTGGAGTTATCAATGAAGTTTTTGCCGCAATAGTTGCAAACATAAGGCCGTTCCCCAGTATGTATACGCTGATGCTTCACCAAGGTGGAGCTGTCTGTGAAACTTTTGCTACATACAGTACACTGGAAAGGCTTCTCCCCGGTGTGGAAGCGCTGATGGACCACCAGGTGAGAGTTACAGGAGAAGCACTTCCCACACACAGTGCAGGTGTATGGCTTCTCTCCACTATGGGTCCTCTGGTGTTTCACCAGGGTAGACCGAGCAGCAAAGTTTCTCCCACACTGGACGCAGGTGAATGGCTTCTCGCCGGTGTGAGTGCGTTGGTGTTTGACCAGAGATGAGCTGTCAATGAAGTTTTTGCCACACTGAGTACAGCTAAATGGTTTCTCACCCGTGTGGGTCCTCTGATGCTTCACCATAGCAGACTTCTTGGTGTAGCGGTTCCCACACGTTAGGCATACAAATGGTTTCTCACCAGTGTGAACACGTTGGTGTATCACCAAGGTGGAGCTGTCCGTGAAGCTTTTGCCGCACTCTCGGCACACAAACGGCCTCTCTCCGGTATGAGTTCTCTGGTGCACAATGAGATGTGAGTTGCAAGAATAGGTTTTACCACACTCCTTGCAGGCATAAGGTTTCTCGCCAGTGTGGCTCCGCCGATGGACAACCAGAGTGGAGTTTTCCGTGAACCTCTTTCCACATTCACCACACTGGAAGGACTTCTCCCCACTATGGATCCTCTGGTGTTTCACCAGATTGGACCGGTCCGTGAAGCTCTTTCCACACTCCAGGCAGGTGAAGGACTTCTCCCGGGTGTGGATACGGTGGTGCTTCACCAGATTCGATCGGTCAGTGAAGCTTTTTCCGCAGATGGTACAATTAAATGGCTTTTCTCCAGTGTGGATTCTCTCATGTTTCACAAGAGACGGGCGATCGGTGAAACACTTTTCACAATATGAACAAGCAAAGGGTCTCTCGCCGGCATGAATCCTCTGGTGAATGACCAGGTGAGAGTTGTATGAAAAAGCCTTACCGCACACGGTACACATATGAGGCTTTCCCACAGAGTGCGTCTTCTGGTGCTTCACAAACCGAGCTCGGTCTGTGAAACTCTTTCCACATTCAATGCACAGATAGGTGGTCATCTCCATCACTTTTCCCGTTACGGGGTCAATGGCATTGAAGATGCTGTAGCAGTTGTCTGCCAGCCTGGCGCAAGGCACCTCGGATGGGTCTTGTGTGTTGCAGTCATCCTTTCCCACTGGCATCTTTTCTACTTCTGCAGATGAGCCGGACGCCATACAAGGCTTCCCTTTTTCATTCATCACAAAATCTGCACAAAAATAAGATTGCAATAATATATAAGAAGGATACTTCGCAATGAAGGCCATTTATCTTTAGGTAGAAGTATATGTAAAGAAGTGCAGAGTTGACTTTAAAGATTACATTAAGACAGGGTTGGGCAACTCCAGCCCTACAGCCCTCATATCATGAAGCAGAGTGTGTGTTGGCAGAACCATAGATACCACTGGGGGGATCTTACTAATAGAATCTCAGGCAGCCAGTAGGTGATTCAGCTCACCAAGGAATCCCAAAGTAACAGGAAATCCAATATATTGGCTATTGGTTATTAGGATCCTTTAAACCAATGGTAGGCGAACTCCAGCTGTGGTGAAACTACAAATACGAAGGTGCCTCTGCCTTTGGGAGTCACGCCTGTGGCTGTCAGAGTCTTGAAATGACTCATGGGACTTGTGGTCCAAAACAGCTAAAGTGCCGGAGTTGCCCCTAGGGTTATCTTACAGTTAAAGGTTAGGCCGAGAACAAATGTTATGGGAGTACTCAAGGTTAGCTGTAGGGGGTAGTTAAAGGGAAGGCAACCCTGGCACTCCAGTTGTGGTAAACACTACAAGCCTCATGAGGCATTGCAAGACTCTGACAGCCACAGGCATGACTACCAGAGGAAAAAGCATGATGGGACTTGTAGATTCACCACACCTGTAATGCCAAGGTTACCTGTCCCTGCTCTAGACGCCCCCTGCCTAGCAAACTATTGTTACCAGATTCAAACAACCAGACTGTCTACCCCTGGGCTTAACAGATACAGATGGGTGAAGGAATGTTGTTATCCTTGGGCGTGAAGTGTCTTACTGGCAGGATCACCAGATGAATATAAAGGGAATAAAGCAAACTAATTCAGATGCCCCATCTAAGGACTGATCAGCTGGAAAATGTTAATTTTCTTTTGTTTTAGATATGCTTTAAAGTGGAACTGAACCCAAAACTTTTTACAATGTGGATACAGTGGAATAACCTGATAAGTTCTCATTGCTGTCTGTGTCCCCGTTAGGGAGATTCACCCTCTCTATATGTCTTGGTGAATGCCATCACTGAAAGGGAAAGAAAATCCCAAATGTTGGGTTGTCACCAGAACAGGAATAGATGGAAAATCTTCTAACGTGGACACTAAGTCTGGTGGGGGACCTTGCTGACCACCAGGGATATCTTGATGGACCCCCTCTGTGATAGAATAGCGCAGCTGAAAGGTTTTCTTTGAGACATTAGAGGTCTACTAGAGCTTTGTAGAAGTGTTCGGACTTCTAAATCACTTCTACAGAAAACCAGGAGACTGGTGACAAAATATAACCAAACTCGAGGCTGCTCTTCTGACTGAGTTTGTTTACATCACGTTACTGCCGCCATTGTAGTAGTTCCAGCAGCGGCAGTAAAAGCGTAAGCACAAGTATTTATCTACACTCTCTACTCCCCCAGCGGCCCCCCTCCCTCATGCCCTAAAGTTTAAGTGGAAAATTCCCTCAAGGTACTTATCTTCTCTGCTAGCCTCTCATGTTTATACATCCCAGCCTGTAAAAATCTAGTGCCAGGCTGCTCAAACGCTAATGTCCCATAAGGTTCAATGGCACGTACCCATACTGCTGGTGCAACGGCCCAAGATTTTTACGTGCAGGGTTGTAGACAATCCAAGTTCTTCAGCGTCTAGAAAAAAAAAAGCATTTTGGACTTATGTTGCGGAGGCATCCGCTGTCGCTTTAAGCCTCCAACCTACATTTTGGGTTTTATCCGGTCAGGAGTGCGATGGGCTTGTATGTTTATAGAAAAAAAGTAAGCACTAGGGAGTAACGATGGTTCAGCTTAGTGGCAGAAATGAGAGTCCTTGGGGTAGACAAGATCAGGGCACTAGAGACCCCAAGAGGTTTAGGAAGGCAGGGGGTGCTTCAACCCATCAGCATCCACCAGGTTGGGCTGAGAAAATAATTCTCTAAACTTGGTTACTCTAACCCCCATTTATGCCCTCACTTCTACTTATTTTCTCTATGATGAACTCAGGCTGCCTACCCTGTAACAGCTACCACACCAGCCACCTGTCCCCCTCTCTGATGGATTCTTGGAGGTTAAAAAGTAGTGATGTGCCTCCCAAACTCATTTCATTTATAGGGGTTCTCCCCAGTATGGATCCTTTGGTGTCTCACAAGGGTGGAGCTGTCAGTGAAGCACTCCCTGCACACTTTGCAGGAGTATGGCATGAATTCGTTGGCGTTTCATCAGGATGAAGTTATCAATGAAGTTCTAGCTGCAATAGTTGCAAACCTTCCTCCGGTATGTATCCACTCATGCTCCACTAAGGTGGAGCTGCAGGTGAAACCTTTGATACATTCGGTAAAGAGGAACGGCTTCTCCCTTGCTTTGAAGTGCTGATGGACCACCAGGTGGGAGTTACAGGAGGAGAACTTCCCACACACGGGAGACGTGTATGGCTTCTATCTGGTATGTGTCCACCATGGTGGACCAAGCAGCAAAGTTCCTTCACCTGGTGCCGGTAAATGACTTCTCACTGATATGAGTACCCTGGTGTTTGACTAGAGAAGAGCTGCCAATGAAGTTCTAGCTATACTGAACACAGTTGGAACGTTTCTCACCTGTGTGGGTCCTCTGATGCTTCACCAAAGCCGACTTCTTGGTGTAGCGGTTACCGCACGTTGGACACGCAAAGGGTTTCTCCTCGGTGTGAACCCGCTGGTGCGTCACCAAGGCGGAGCTGTCCATGAAGCTTTCGCCACACTCCTGACACACAAAAGACATCTCACCGGTGTGGCTCCGCAGATGGAAAACCAGAGCGGAGTTTTCCGTGAACCTCTCCCCACATTCCCCACACTGATAGGACTTCTCCCCGCAATGAACACTCTGGTGTTTCTCCATGGTGGACCGGTCTGTGAAGCTCTTCCCACACTCCAGGCAGGTGAAGGACTTCTCCCGGGTGTGGATACTGTAGTGCTTCAATAGATTGGAATGGTCAGTGAAGCTTCTTCCACAGACGGAACAAGAAAATGGCTTTTCTCCAGTGTGAATTCTCTCGTGTTTGACAAGAGACGGGCGATCGGTGAAGCACTTTTCACAATAAGAACAGGCAAAGGGTCTCTCGCCACCATGGGTTCTCTGGTGAATGACCAGGTGAGAGTTATATGAAAAAGCCTTACCGCACATGGTACAAACATGAGGCTTCTTTACAGCGTGCGTCTTCTGGTGCTTTACAAACCGAGCTTTATTTGTGAAGCTCTTGCCACAGTCAATGCACAGATAGGCGGTCTTCTCCACCACTTTACCCGTTTTAGGGTCAATGGAATTGATGATGCTGTGGCAGTTGTCCATCAGCCTGGCACGAGGCATCTCGGAATGGTCTTGTTTGGTGCAGACGTCCTTTCCCGCTGGCATTTTGTGTACTACAGATGAGCCGGACGTCATACAAGGCTCTCCTTTTTCATTTATGATCACAATATCTGCAAACAAATAAGATTGCGACAATGTATAAGAATATTATTTCACACTGAAGGCCGTTACCACCTTTATGTACAGGTTACATGGTGACTAGTTCCCGACCAGTCCCAAAGGAAAAACACCAATTGTATGACCAGCTCAAGGCCTCATGCACACGGGGGTCTGGGGATTCCTGTGGTAAGAACCTGAGGCAGAATTCCCACACGTATCTAGGGCCGATGTGCCCATTCCATCTAATGACAGAGTGGTAGATCCGCAGATATGAATACCTTCGGATTGGGAGAGATGCTTGTCCCGGGAGGCAAGCTCTCTGCGTCCCAGGACAAGCATCCCTCCTGACCCGCAGTTAACCACGGCATGTACAGCCATGGACAGATGGGACCGCTGTCACTCTGTCTTTAACTTGAATGGGCACAGTGGCCCCGTCTGTACACCTGAGATTTCTGCTGCAATAGTCCGCGGGTATCGAGACGCAATAATCCTGAGACGCCCGTGTGCATGAGGCCCAAGAAGTGGACCTTTTAGTAACTTTAATGGACAATAGAACCCTTCCAACCCCCCCCGGCTCTCTAAACTACATTAAACCCTTACAGGAGTTTACTTCCCTGCTCCAACAGTGGTGGCCTCTTGGGTAGTTTACATCCCAACTGGTGAATATTTACGGGGTTATTCACACAGCTGCCAAAGGCAGCTGAGTGAATAACCGAGTCGTAGTGAAGTGAGCCGAACTATTCTGCAATTCACTACGGCTCAGTATGGCTGATTTCAGCCGTATTCAACAGAAAAAATACGTAGAAGAGCGCAACTACCAGAGATAATGATTAGATGCTGAGCATCCTACTGTGAGTGGCTGATTGGTTGAAATAGAAATAGTTGGTGTATAACTTATGGTTGTGATGTCATGGATGGACACATACACTCCCTGCAGTCCCGTGTGGTCAGCGATGTTGATCTGTATGTTACCGGGCCGGAAGATCTAAACTATCCAGGATATCCCCAGGCCGCGTCCTCGGCTGGCCGGGCCGAGCAAGCGGCAACTGGAGCAGGAGAGGGAGAGCTGTCCAGCAGCTGGGATCGGCACTGAGCAGTGTGTTGCCGTGTGTTGGACACCGCTCTAAGGCTTGACAAAGAGGGTTACCCTCGAAACCCGTAGCCGCTAACTGATCCCACAGGGGTGCCTCACAACTTAAACATATCTCCCTCGGACTCACGAGCACTGACCGATACCGCTCACTGGACCTTCCAGCGTTCGCGCCGCACACCACACAGCAACACACTGCTCAGTGCCGATCCCAGCTGCATCGGTGCATCCCTCATTTCTTTTTTTAATGATTTTTCAAGTATGCCGTGTGAAAATGGAAATAAACTTCAACTCATCTATTTTTATTCTTACCTTCAATTGAATCATCATCAGACACAGCGGTGTTCAGTTTGTCAATTTCGGATTCTGAATTTGGTTCATCTTCATAATACATGTCAAGGGAGACCTAAAGCAGAAGCAGAGAAGAATATCTCAGTGGTCCAGTTACTAATAAAATGAACCCCCCTGTGATAAATGAAGCAGGGGGAACATTGACTACCAACCCATAATGATTGTATTACAATTCCTTTCTTGTATCAGCTACCGTGGTCACCTCTTATCTTGCCCTCCACCCACGAGGCCTTTGCCACCGGAGTCACAAAAATGCAGCTACAAAAGCTGCGGATCTCCTGCCTAAAAGGTTTATTTCAGGTATCTATAGAGCGCTGACAATTTACGCAGTGCTCATTCACATCAGTCCCTGCCCTCCAGGAGCTTACAATCTAAGGTCCTTATCTCACACACATACAAGGGCTGATATTGACAGGAGCCAATGAACCTTCCAGCATGTCTTTGGAGTGTGGGAGGAAACGGAGTACCTGGAGAAAACCCAAACAAGCACAGGGAGGGCATGCAAACTCCATGCAGATAGTGTCCTGCCTGGGATTTGAACTGCAATCTCATGTTTAGTTTACCGATTTGTATTGAGATTGTAGTCCATCCCAGAGCGAGCTTGGAGCGGATGAACCTTCCCAACACACACAGGGACCATGGGGAACAGACGTAGCCCCCCTCCAGAAGGAAGGACAGTGTCAGCACCAATTCAGAGATGATTGGAGGATCTACAGCCGAGTGATACACACATAAGAGACATTGTTGTTCATAGTTAAGGGACTTTAATGTATTTTTAAGATATAACTCCGGAGTTTAGTGTCACTTTGAGGAGAGGAGGTGGTGTTTTGTAGTTGTGGACTAGGGTGGCAAAGCTGCTCTTCCATAGATACAGTACATTGAGCGAGCGTTGCCACCCTAGGAGATCGAAGCACTCGTAAGCTGCAATATATTACATTGTTACTCTCGGAGTTAAATACACTCAACAGTATCGGGGAAACATGATCATTCAGTAAATATCTGGGTGTTTATTCCAGACAAAAGCAACATGAATAAGCAGTGTACATACTGTAGGCAGCTAGCAAAGATCTTGGTGCAACCATGTCTATAGATGGCCTGCATATAGATGTCTTCAAGCGCATACCCCTTTCCTCCTACCCCAGCAGCACCAGGAGTGCTTAGCCATTATTATTATTATTATTACATAGTATTTATATAGCGCCAACAGTGTGCGCAGCGCTTTACAATATAAGGAAGACATTACAATCACAATACAAATCAAGACAAGATGGTAAGGAAGGCCCGGCCCCTGAGGGCTTACATTCTAAAAGGGAAGGAGAAGTGATACATGAGGAGGGATCAGGCCTGGTTCTTGTTGCTCTATCACAGGGATGGGCAACTCCGGCCCTCCAGCTGTGTTTTCCCTACAAATCCCAGCATGCCTCTGGGAGTCACGCCTGTAACGGTCAGTCATGAATCGCCTCATGGGACTTCCACAACAGCTGGAGGGCCGGAGTTCCCCACCACTACTCTATCAGGCATGTAGAACAGCTCACCTTGTCATCGTCCTGGCAGCGCTCACTATCGGATGCTGGCTCACTGTCTGACATCTTAAATATGTCAAATCTTCCCACGGAGCAGGAGAACTGGAACTGACCTGCGTAAAGGAAAACAGTTTCATTCACATTTGGAAAAAACAAAGCCCTCGTGTACAAAGTCTGCACAGAAAATATTCTTGTCTCTAATTTATTCTGCAATCATCTGGCCATTGATAACTAAAGACGCCCAACCATCGGGGATACTCATTGTATTACCGGAACCAGAACACAAAGGTTTTATTTCCCATCAACTCGCAACATCCATGAAACTATTATTATTATTATTATTAATATACAGGATTTTTAGAGCGCCAACAGCTTGCGCAGCGCTTTACAAAAGGGAGACAATACAATTCCAGTACAGGAGGTAGAAGGGCCCTGCCCCTGAGGGCTTACAATCTAGTAGGAGGGGCAAGTGATACAAAAGGTAATTGTGTGGGAGGAGTTATTGGAAGAAGAAAATGGACAGTTATTATGATAAGGTGGGATAGGCTTCCCTGAAGAGATGAGTTTTTAGGGATGGCCTAAAGGTGGACAGAGTAGGAGATAGGTAGACAGGGTGGGGTAGGGAGTTCCAGAGAATGGGAGACACTCTGGAGAAGTCCTGGAGGCCAGCATGTGAGGAGGTGACAAGAGAGCTGGAGAGCAGGAGGTCTTGGGAAGAGCGACGGGGACGGTTTGGGTGATTTTTGGAGATGAGGTGGGTGATGTAGGTCGGGGCGCAGTTGGATATTTTGAATTTTATACATTGGGCAAGTGGGAGCCAATGGAGGGATTGGCAGAGGGGGGTGGTGGACACTGATCGGTTGGTTAGGTGGATGAGTCTAGCAACAGCATTCATGATAGACTGAAGGGGGGAGGAGCCTGTTTAGCGGTTGGCCAACAAGGAGGGAGCTGCAGTAGTCAAGGCGAGAGATTACAAGGGAGTGAATTACAAGCTCGGTGGTATCATGTGTTAAGAAGAGACGGATTGTAGAAATGTAACGGAGGTTGAGTCGGCAAGATTTAGATAGGGATTGGACGTGGGGATGAAAGGAGAGCTCAGATCAAGGATTACACCGAGCACCCTGGTTTTTAGAGGAGGGGTTTATTGTGGGGTTGTTGATTGTGATGGAGAAGTCCGGGCAGAGGACACGGAGAGGAGGAAATATTATAAGCCCAGTTTTGGACAGATTGAGTTTGAGGAAGTGGTGTGACATCCACGCTGAGATGCCAGTGAGTGGGTTAGTGATGCGTGAGGAGATAGAGGGGGCGAGCTGAGGGGTAGAGAGATAGATTTGGGTGTCGTCGGCATAGAGATGGTAACCGAAGCCATAGGAGGTTATCAACCGACCCAGAAAAGAGGTGTAGATGGAGAACAGAAGGGGTCCAAGGACAGAGCCTTGGGGGACCCAAGGGAAAGAGGAAGAGGAGGAAGTAGTGTTATAGGCGACACTGAAGGTGCGCTGAGATAGGTAGGAGGTGAACCATGAGAGAGCTTGGAGGCCAAGGGATTGGAGTTTATTGAGGAGGAGCGGGTGTCAACCGGATCAAAAGCAGTAGAAAGATCCCGGAGTACGAGTATAGAGAAGCGGCCTTTGGTTTTAGCTAGGGATGCACCGATATATCGGCCGCCGAAACATATCGTTCTTTCTCTCCTCCCCGCTGGGCGCTGCTCTGTGTCCCAGCGGGGAGGAGAGAAACTGTCACAGAGCGCTGTGAGCGGCCGGCGTCTCCTCCCACACCGCTCAGCCTCCTGTCACAGATCGGCAGAGCGGTTTGTGGGCGGAGACAGCCAGCACTGTCGCAGGAGGATTGGATAGAAGGGTTATAACCTCTGTCAGCTTATTTTTGCTATCTGAGATTTCTCTTTACTTC